AGGGGACGCTAGGACTTTGGCGAATGAGCTGGAGGCCAGGAGGATAAACTGAACTCTCCTCGGGAGGTCAGGCTTCCATTTTCTGCAAGCAAAGCAGAGTTCAGCAGAAGTTGGAGGAGCTGTAGGTATACTGTTGTCCCCCAACAGTGTAGACCAGTGGAGTGGGGACCTCGAAGTACCAGGTCCTGAAATGGGCCTGGAATCCTACAAAAGTTATCACAGCTGCTGCTTCATGTTCACCTATAACATCTGCACATTGTTTTTGATGGGGAATGCTAAGGTATCTTTTGGGCCTTGTTAACTTGACTTAATGCAAATCCACCATGTTTTAACTCCATGAATGTACTGCTCAGGATGGTGGGATGGTAAGGGTGAGGAGGCATCAGACACAGATACTGCTTTCACGGAGTTAATGGCTTGGTCCATGGCGAAAAGGAATGGGGTGGAAAAACAATTGGAATGAGTAGAAAAGCAATGCTGCTGTTTTTTGACCATTCCCAGAAGGCAGTCATAGGCTTGTTCAGAGGAAGGCAGTTTAGAGAAGGTCCTTTGTAGTTTCTTATTTATTTATTTATGTGCGTGCAATAGGTCATCTCTCCTTTCAAGCTTTATTCATGGGAACATGTATATATGCAGTCTTCCTTCGTGTATGTCAGTACTCTTTGGATATTTCTTCTGCTTGCTACTAGAGTGACCTCCATGTGGTCCCTACGCCTACTTGATGTAGTTTTCTAGGCCTAAAATATGTCTTTCAAATGTCCTCTAGAAGCCGGGTGCTGGTGGTTCATGCCTATAATCCCAGCTACTCAGGAGACAGCTATCTGAAGACCATGGTTCGAAGGAAGGAAAGTCTGTGAGACCCTTAATCTCCTCGAAACTGCCAAGCAAGCCAGAAGTGGGGTTGTGGTTAAGCGGTAAGAGTTCTAGCCTTGAGCAAAAGAAGCTCAGGGACAGTGCCCAGGTCCTGAGTTCAAGCCAAGGGACTGGCACCAAAATAGAAACAAAGAAAGAGTAAAATGTCCCCTAAAAGACCTGGAACACAAGGCTGGCCATGTCTGTGTACTAGTCTAGAAATTTCCTAGGGAAATAGACTACATGAAACTAAAAAATAAACAATGTCATATATTCTTGACTGTCCATCACTAATTCTATAGTTTTATCCAATTTATTGTCATATTCCTATTTTTCTCTTAAAAGACAGAAATTGTACAAGGAAGTCAATAGTAGTCATTTTCTCAATCTTTACACAGCATGATTCTATGATTCTTCCAGAATAAAGACTGGTAGTAAAGCTGGGCACCGTTGGCTCATGCCTGTAACCCTAGCTACTCAGGAGGCTAAGATCTGACCATTGTGTTTCAAAACTAGCCCAGGCAGGAAAGTCTGTGAGACTCCTAACTCCAATTAACCACCAGAAAACCAGAAGTGGGGCTGTGGATTAAGTGGTAAAGTGATTGCCTTGAGCTGAAGAGCTGAGAGAAAGCTCCCAGGCCCAGAGTTCACGTCCTACAACAGACAAAAAAAAAAAAGACTAGTTGTAAAACTAGTAGAGAAAAAATGATTAGCCATTGACAACCATTTTAAACCATTTTAAATTTTAGAATGTATTATTTTATGCCAGTACTGAAGCTTGAACTCATGGCCTTTTTCAGCCAAGGTTTGTGCTCTATCACTTGAGCTATTCCTACACTTCTGGCTTTTGGTTTGGTTACTTGGAGATAAGAATCTCATAGACTTTGCTGCCCAGGATGGTTTCACACTTCTATCCTCAAATCTTAGCCTTCTGAGGAGCTAAAATTATAGGCATGAAACCAGCTCCCAGCTCAGAATGCATTTTTATGTATGAAATATTTGATATGGTAAAGAAAGGTAGGTTGTTAATCGATCTGGAGGCCCACAGAACTGAGAACAAAATATATAACCTCACAATATATGTAACTATGAATTAACTAAATTAATTATGTCTTAAATCATGTGTTCATAAATCTATGTCTGGTAGAGTTATTTAAAAAATCCTTATTTTCTTCTCCAGTATTCTCCACCCATGCACAAACACACTGTATACACACAGCAGATGTGATAAAGCTTCAAGCTCAACAATCTAATCTGACAGTTGCATCCACATAGAGTCTATGGCCTAATTTTTTTCCCTGAAAATTTGTAAAGAAGAATTAACTCAAGGAAAATGAGGGGAATGACTTAATTAATATAATTAGTTGAACAGTAATGAAACATAATTTCTGTTAAAACAAGTGAAGCTCAGGAGTAAAGCCACAAAATACCTATGGCGTCATTTGTGATATTTTACCTTTAAACTTGTATAAAAATAAATATATTTTAAGCTGGCTTATCATTATGACATTCTGCATTGAAAATGTATTGTTTCAATAATGTTTTAAATTGTACCTGAATTTCATATATCATACATATACTAAAGCATTATTTTGAGTTAAAATTTAGTAAAATATGCTGTTAAGATTATAAATATTTCATTGGTCACTGAAACATCTGTGGAAAAAACTTAATTTGCCATTGTGTTTTTAAATCAGACAGGATAGCAATTTTGAAAGAATTGCTTTTGCAACAATTATCTGAAATTTTAAGATGCTATAAAGCTACTTTTCTTCTATCATGACTACTATTTTACTTTATTTAGGGGAAATATTATTCTTGAGGGAAATAACATCAGAAAGTAGGAACTTGAAGTACAAAGCTGACATTAGCTGAACTGTTGCGAAGTGATCATTTATATTACAAAACATGAGCAAAAGAATTCTATTTGGGTATTATTTTTTTTCAAGCATCTATGAGAAAGAGATAATCTTAAGGAGTAGTAGAAATGTGGAAGAGCAATTTACAAATAAAATGTAAATATGTTGTATATATCTACTCTCTCTCAGATCAAAGGCAAAATATATTGTTAAATGGCCTATAGTCTGCTTCTCACCCTATCTAAAGGGGCTCTCGGCCTCATCTCCTTTTACTCTGCACATACCCTTGGACTTGTGACTACTCTGATTTTGTTTTACTAAGTATTCCTGCCTGCTCATTCTTTTTTTTTTTTGGGTCCGGTCTTGGGGCCTGAACTCTGGGCCTGGGCGATGTCCCTCAGCTCTTCAGCTCAAGGCTAGCGCTCTACCACTTGAGCCATAGCGCCACTTCCGGCTTTTTTCTTTTTGCTTATGTGGTGCTGGGGAATCGAACCCAGGGCCTCAGGCATGCAAGGCAAGCGCTCTACCACTGATCCACCTTCCCAGCCCTGCTTGCTCATTCTTGTTTCCCCAGTGCCTATGGTATGCAGGTTATTACAATTAATATAAATTAAAAGTGCTATAATTAACATGAATCTTTGAGTCTGCAAAGGAGAAATCATTTGTCTCTGATTGGGTGAATAAACAAAAGCTATGGGCATTTGCATTTAGGATGGATTTGAGAGAAGCTAACATTTAAAAAGCTGGAGTGAGAAGAATATTCAAGGGAGAAGAAACAGTAAGAAACACATTTTTTTTGTTTTTTTAATAAAGTCACAAAGTAAAAGAGCATACTTGTAGACCACCTCATGAGTCTCCTTCCTTCCTTCCTTCCTTCCTTCTTTCCTTCCTTCCTTCCTTCCTTCCTTCCTTCCTTCCTTCCTTCCTTCCTTCCTTCCTTCCTTCCTTCCTTCCTTCCTTCCTTCCTTCCTTCCTTCCTTCCTTCCTTTCTTCTCTTTTGCCAATCCTGGTGCTTAAAATCTGGTCCTGGGTTCTGTCCCTGAACTTCTTTTTGCTCAAGAGTAGAGCTCTACCACTTGAGTCACAATGCCACTTCTAGCTTTTGGTGAGTAGTTTATTGGAGATAAGTCTCCTGGACTTTCCTGCCCAGACTGGTTTCAAACCGAGATCCTCAGAGCTCAGCCTCCTGAGTAGCTAGGATTATAGGCATGAGCCACTGATGCCCAACTCTTTCTTTCTTTTTTCCTCCTTCCTCCTTATTTTGGCAGTATCAGGTCCTTGTGCTTGCTAGGTAGGTACGTTACCACTGAGTCACAACCCCAGTACTTTTCTTTTTGTTTCAGCTATTTTTCAGGTAAGATCTTACATTTTATTTTTGGGCCTGGAACCAGCCTTAGACCTTGATCCTCCTATTTATCACATAGAGGAGATCATCAGTGTTTTCTTTCTATACATTAAGAATGTGTTCATTTATTATATTAATATAGAGAATTTCTATATTCAAAATATTGAGCGTGTAATTTTTGTACATTAAGTACATAAGAAGAGAATTTCACTTTTGTCTTTTGGTGTAAGGTGAGCAAGTTGTAAGAATATGCATGGATTTATTTGGTACTAGACATAATGCACAGAAATTGGCATAGACCTCATGAAGAAGATATTGTCATTTTCTCACCCTTAACATGGTGTGACTACTGACCTCGGTTACATAGCTGCCAGGGATGCAGCCAGTGTTCTAATCCAGGTGGCTGATGACAGCCTTTTCCCCTTAATTCTTATACAATAGACAAAGCTCCATTGCTCTCTAACAACAGAAGCTAGAGGCCCAGGTGACAGTTGTTGAAGAACTGCAAAGGACAGAAGATTCATATTTTAAGGAAGTCATGTCTGACCTGAGAAGCAACAGTATTTTCACAATAAAAAAACTTATTATTAAAAATAAATAAATTACACAGTTAACCCAGAAGGTTAACAAAAGATGTAAAACAACTAAAACGCACACAGGAGTTTTGAACAGAAGAGAAGCCAGTTTGAAAGGGAACAGGTTTGGAGATACAGACTATACCTTCTGGTAGAGATGCAGGAATTCTTGAAGAATGGACTTGTTTTGACAATGAGCTTACTTCCTGGTGAAAATGTCCCTCCCCACCATGGATGAGTGGTAGTAACTATGAAGTCAGGTCATCGAAGTTTCCGAAATAGCTCTTTTTCTTTAATGAAAAGAAAAATCGCAGTACAATTCATGAAACACTAGCATTAACCGGTACATCCTACACCTTTCTCTTTTAGGAAATATATTTGTGGTGAGTCTGGCAATCGCAGACCTGGTGGTCGCCATTTATCCATACCCCTTGGTGCTGACATCGATATTCAACAATGGATGGAATTTGGGCTATCTGCACTGTCAAGTGAGCGGTTTTCTGATGGGCCTGAGTGTCATTGGCTCAATATTCAACATCACTGGGATTGCCATTAACCGTTACTGCTACATCTGCCACAGTCTCAAGTACGACAAGCTCTACAGCAACAAGAATTCCCTCTGCTATGTGTTCCTCATCTGGATGCTGACACTTGTGGCGATCGTGCCCAACTTGCAGATTGGATCGCTCCAGTACGACCCAAGGATCTACTCGTGCACATTCACACAGTCCGTCAGTTCGGCCTACACCATAGCTGTGGTCGTTTTCCATTTCATCATTCCTATGATCATCGTCATCTTCTGTTACCTAAGAATCTGGATCCTGGTTCTCCAGGTCCGACGCAGGGTGAAACCTGACCACAAACCCAAACTAAAACCGCAGGACTTCAGGAACTTTGTCACGATGTTTGTGGTTTTTGTACTCTTTGCTATTTGCTGGGCTCCACTAAATTTCATTGGCCTCATTGTGGCCTCAGACCCTGTCAGCATGGTGCCCCGGATCCCAGAATGGCTGTTTGTGGCTAGTTACTATATGGCGTATTTCAACAGCTGTCTCAATGCAATTATATATGGACTATTGAATCAAAATTTCAGAAAGGAATACAGAAGGATCATCGTCTCATTGTGCACAGCCAGGATGTTTTTTGTGGATAGCTCTAATGATGTAGCCGATAGGATTAAATGCAAGCCCTCTCCATTAATAACCAACAATAACCTAATAAAAGTGGACTCTGTCTGAACAGAGAAGCACTGGAGGTGAGACATTCTCACCCCATGAGAGCTCACGTCTTTTTATGGTTGCTTTCTTCTTGGTAGATGTCCAGAAAATAGTAGTTGAGCAATTTGATGCTCTTCAGAGATGCAGTTTGAAGTTTCTAAGCAAATGCGCTGTGAGTTTTGTAAATGAGTCTTACTTTTTCAGGAAAAGAAATACAGAACATAAAGAGAGTCATACGTTAATTGGAGAATACGTTTCAGGGATAGAGGATTGAAGTAAAATGCTGAATGAATTCAAGTGAAGAGAGAATGTGAAATTTTTTTTTGTACAGGAGTATAGCAAAAGCAGTCAATTCAGCCTTCCTTATTTGATCTGCAGGCTCACATCCTTAGATTCAACCAACCACAACTTGAAAATATTGGGGAGGAAATTGCATCTGTACTGAACATTTTCAGACTTTTCTCTTGTCACCATTCCATGAACAATACTGCATAGCAGCCATTTGCATAGCATTTATGATGTAGCAAGTATTGCAAGTAATCTGGTGATGATCTAAGTACTGTATGTAAGGATATGTGTAGTTTACAGGCCAGTGCTATCCTATTTTATATGAGGGATAGAAGCATCCAATTTTTGATAACCTTAGGGGAGAGTTCCCACAGATTCCGAAGGATGACTGTAGTTGCCTCTTCTTCCCCCCACTTTTGAAATTTTACTTATAAAGGAGTAAATGGAACAAAAAGGAAGTAGATGAGAAGTGCTTATTACAGTTTGAAAAGCTGAAAAATGATTCATAACAGCAAAGATCACAACCACCACTAGTTGGCAGTATCAGCATTGGGTAGCTCTAGTGAAAAAATCACTTTGTTTATGCCAGATGAAGGACTGATTACCACACAGAGCTTTTATTCAAATGATAATTACTATAGTACTTTAAGGCAATAGCTATGTATGAAGTGTCAATCAACTTTATTAAATTAGTTTTTTTTTATCATTTTGTGTCATTGGCTCTTTTGAATGGCTCTCTGTTGATTGATTAAATTGCTGTATTGGTCCAGTGAAAATGGTAAAGAATGGAGTTGTTGAAAATTTTAGATGGAGTACAGATTGTGGTCTAGATTGATGAAGCAGGCAAGTGAATAATCTAAGCCAGATAGCTTTTCTTTCAAAGATAACTCAAAAAGGTATTCTTCAGGGGCTGGGAAGGTGGCTCAGTGGTAGAGCGCTTGCCTTGCATGCATGAGGCCCTGGGTTCAATTCCTCAGTACCCCACAAGCAGAAAAAAGCCAGAAGTGGCACTGTGGCTCAAGTGGTAGGGCACTATCCTTGAGCTGAAGAGCTGAGGGACAGTGCCCAGGCCCAGAGTTCAGCCCCCACAACCGACAAAAAAAAAAGTATTCTTCATAATTCACTTCAATATCTGATTGTCCTAATAGTACTATTGTAAGTATAGGAGAAAAAAAAGGTATGTGATAAAGCTCTGGCTAAATAAGTGTTGGCTGTGGTTAACCTCAAAAGTCTTTTTGGGATAACTATGAGGTTTGATATCTAGGGTGCTCTGCTACTAATTATAGCCATACTTTCTTGTACCTTATGATCTATAACAAAATTGTTCCATACAAGAATAACAACTACATATATAGGTTACATATGAAAAGTATAGGATAAGGAGTTATACTTTGGGTATATTTGTTATTATCTGTATATCTTAGAGAATCAGCATTTCCTTCAGGAAGTCTGAACTAATTATTTTTAAAAATTACTCTGATGATTATAAAGCATATTATGGAAGTACAAAATTATGGTTGAGGTAGCTAGTATAGAGGTATATATGTAACCTTTGCCTAGTCATTTATGTATATAAGTTCTACTTCTTATCCAAAGGAAATGTAAATGTTACCAATAATATTTAAGCTAATCTGTCTAATTTAAGACATTTTACCTATATTACATTATGTTAGCTTCACTGCCTCATAAAATGGGATCATTATTTGTTTAAATCTAAAGAATTAGCACAAATTTTAGGTGGGAATAAGGCAAAACTCCATTTTCTTCAACTATATTCTGTATTACCAAATACTGGCTTGTATATAAAAATAATTTACATGCATAAGCATGAAAATTTTCAAACAAAGCAACAGACTTATTTTTAAATATTCTTGGAGGTAATTTGACAGAATAACCAATATGGAATGTTTAGTTCATTGAATGAACACATCAACCTAAGTGTTCTGTAATAAATGATATTTTGACCATTTTTGGCTTACTTTTGGAGCATTATAAGCTATTTTACTTTGTAAGTAACTGATTTGGGATAAAAAATGAATTTTAAGCCCATTTAAATGACCAAATTAGAGTATATAAGAATTTCTTCAGCATAATTTTTATAAAAATATCTTTTCTTTTTAAAAAATAATTTTTAGTCTGGTGCTGATAATCCTAGCTAGCCAAGAGGCTGACATCTGAGGACTGCTGTCCAAAGCCAGCATTGGCAGGATAGTCATTGAGACTGTTATCTCCAGTTAACCACCACAAAGACAGAAGTAGAGCTGTGCTCAAGTAGTAGAATACTAGCTTTGAGCACAAAAGCTCAGGGACAGTGCCCAGGCCTGAGTTCAAGCCCCAGGACCAACACCCAACACACACACACACACACACACACACACACACACACACACACACACACACACACAAAATAATCATAATAATTTCTTTTTTATTATTGTGAAAATACCATACAGAGGGGTTACAATTACATGAGCAAGACAGTGGTGAGTACATTTCTTCTCAAGCATTGTTGCTTCCTCCTTTGTTTCCCCATACAATCCCCCCTCTCCACCCCCCACCCCCCCACTCTGTTACATCCCACTCCCACCCCACCCCCGAAGGGAAAAAACAAAATGTTTAAACCGGGTTACAGGTGGACTCATTACGACAATGAGGTGTACAAGACGTTATGTCAATAATAATAATTTCAAATAATTCTTCTATGTTTCTCTCCTTTGATGCTTGAAAATAAAGCATTTCTACTTTCAAGTGAAAATACCAGGTACAGTTAAATGTATAAATTCTCAAAGAATCAGTTTTGCTGTATCGCAAACTTTTTGCAAATCTCCTCCATGTGCTGTGAAAATTTAGAAAATAAAACAATCATATTTGTGTTCAATATTGATGCTACTATTAAATCAGTACTTCACAAAATGTCTTTTAAGATAAAGAGTAAATACAAACTGAAACTTAACAAAGGAGCAGAGTCCCAAATAAACATAAATTTAACCAAAGTCTTAGTAACACATTATGTCATAATAACAAGTGGAATAAAAACTGAACAGCAGATTAAAGAGTACCAAGAGGAAGCTTGACGCGTCCTAATGGCTTCGTTTATGCTTGTCTATCACCAGATGGTCAATGGCAGCCAACTGCACAATCATCTTGCTTCAAAGTGCCAAGTGAAAATATATGCTTAACTATGGAAGAACAATCATCCATAATACATAATTCTAACCATCTGATGGTCATGAGTGTTTGTCTTGTCGATCTCTGAAACAGAAACACGTTAATAAAAAAAACAAAACACTGTTACAGAATTTGACACAAGAGAAAGTTTGTATCTGGTTGTGTCTGTGTACATTCATGTTTCCTAATTAGATGTTTTTGTTATAGTTTTAATATTGGTGATCTTAGGGCTATGAACAACTTCTTTAGCTTTGAAAAGCAAACGGTAAGCTGGACATGATGGCTCACACCTGTAATCCTAGATACTCAGGAGGCTGAGATCTGAGGGTCATGTTTCAAAATCAGCCAGATTCTTATCACTTATCTCCAAGAAACCACCAGAAAACCAGAAATGATGCTCTGGCTCAAAGTGGTACAGTGCTAGCCTTGCACACCAAGAGACGCAGGGATAGTGTCTAGACCCTGAGTTCAAGCCCCAGAGCCAGCAAAAATAAAAAAGGTAGTTAGATGTTGTGCCATGTTTTTAGTAATGCTTATCTAATGTCTATTACTAGAAGATGTTATCTTTATTATGGGGACATATGTCAATGTTCTGATTACAGCAGTTAGTTTTTAAGCCAATTGATTACTATCACCTTTTCACAGCAGACACTGGATGAGTGTTTTCTTGAGGTGATCACGCTGATTTCTAATGGAACTGTTGCATTGCTGTGTGTGCTGCAAGGCACACCTATCTAGAGTGTGGACAGGAAATGGAGAAAAGTATTTTGTTTGTAATAAAATAAGGTGAAAGCTGCCTTCTATTTCCATGATGTGGTAGACACCTGAGATTTGATTCACAAATAAACTCGTGATTGTCTACTAAATGTCATTCTAAGAAATACTGGCTGATGTTTACGCTGACAATAGGAATCAGTTAAATCAAGTAACTGCTAGAACTTTTGCTTGCAAAACACAGGGTCTCCACTAAATCTGTAGCTAGCTATTGAGTTCCAGAATAAATGTTTGCTTAGACAATGCTTAGATAACTTAACAGTTAAAGTTAGAGTTCTGACATAATTTTCTTGTAGTCTGGGTATAAGTTTGAATAAAACTCTCAGAAAGTTTGTTTTCTTTCCAAAAAGTAGTTGAATTCTACATTAAAAAAACACAGCTATGATATAACATGCTTGTATGATTTGACTTTTTTTTACCCATGGACATACCTTGTTACTGCCAAGGCTGAAATCTGATGAGATCTTTGCTTGTATGCATTTATTTAGATAGAAGTACATATTTATATGTGTAACGATGAATATGTTTTTTGTTATTTTTAAGATTTCACTCTAAATTTCTGATAGTTGAGGGAGAGTTATTGTTGGCTAAGACCAGAGGATGAAAAAAACCCACCCAAAACTCACAATAATAAAAAATGAAGAATGATTTGATAACTATGTGTGCCTGATGCTGTACAATAACATTTTTTTCTCAGCAGAATTTAAATGACTCAGTTATGTGTATGTGTTCATCTATCATACATATATATATCACACATATATACATATCTATTAATGAAGGGAACTAAA